AAACTTATTATGAAGCAAGTAAATAAAAACTGCCTACAATATGTCATCAGTCGTTGCTACTTTTTAATACAAACAAGGGCCCTGTTCCTTCCATTTGCATTTAACATAAATAATGACATGTTTTGCCTTTCTTACCAAAATGTTGCACCCTACTCTATTACTCACAAACATTTTCTCCACAAACTTAAATAAGCTGGCAATGAATTTCTGCAGTGAAAACGTTTTATCTTAATTATGAATCAAACCACAGCCTACATTTACTCTGGGGACACCATGTGTAGAAGATCAATAGTTATTGCCTGAGAGTATACTGTCACAGCAAGTTAATCTATTCTACAACGTTATCCACATGGGAGAAGAGGAAGGGAAGAGCAGAAAAGTGAATAGGAATGCATGTTATGCACCATGTTCCAAGGCCTCTCTCATGTTAGTATGACAATACTTCAAGATAGGTAATGCTTTTCCTTTTCCTAATAGAGTAGCAAAATAAAGCATTGTTCTGGGTCACACAGCTAATAAACTGGGAAGGCCTTCTTCCCAGAGATGATCTTTGTCTTCAGTAGCGTCAAATAAAAGAAAACAGAAGTTTTCTGAGCCCCAGGCCTTGTAACTGGTAATCACTTTCCATTTTCTTGGGATCTTCCAAGCATGTTTGAGTCCCCATGTTTCAGCTTACCTAAAAATGCTCTGGTTTCCCAGTTGATACAGTAAAGCCTGGACTGTTGCACTTCCCCGCACCCCGGGACGTTGTCTTAGCCAAAGTCCAGTGGCCAGCCTGTCTAGCCTACATTCAGGATCTGGTTTCTTTCCCAAAGTGCAGTCTTTGTGAAGTTCACTGGAGTTTTTGAAGCTAGCAGTAATGTCGGAGTTTGGCTCTGTTTCCAGTCTGAGCTTTTTGATCAGCTATGATGAAGTGTACCTGGATTTTTATAATTCCAGACAAGTTCCGACATATCCCAAAAGTTGGGATCAAACTTTATAATGGGTTAGATGAAGAATACAATGAATAAAGTATGAGCCTCAGATTTTTGTTTTGAGGTGGGTAAATGACGGGACGATCCGGGCCTGGTAAGACAGAGAAGCACTTTATTGGGGAAGTTGAAAGGAAATGGGCTGCTTTGAACTTTATGCACTTTCCTCATGCGGCATACCCAACCCCTCATCAATTCTGTCTTTTTCACCTTCAAAATATGCCCTTATTCCAATATTTCTCACGAATCCATGGCCTCCTCTGTACCAGTCCAGGTTAACTCAGGAATACAGAAACTATTTAAAACGGAGGAGATTTAATGCAGGGAATTAGCTATACAATGATGCAAGAAGTGAGAAGCCAGATGGGATGGCAAGGTTACGTAGAGATTAACCACGGTGGGAATAACAGGAGCAAAAGCCACTGAGCCTCTCCCAGAGATGCTGCTTGATTGGGACACACACACACATACACTACACACACACACCCTAGAGAGAGAGAAAGAAAGAAATGAACTTGCTTTTCCTTATTTTTGCTCTTGCATCAACTAACAGTGCCTAAAGCCAGATAGAAGCCGGGTGAAATGGACCCTGGAAAATGCAGAATGCAGGGACCAGCCAGCTAAGCAGAGCAAAGGAAGGGAGAAGAATGGGTCTGAGAGCAAATCGGCCCAGCTGGCACAGAACCTAATTCAAGCCGCCATCATCTCTTGATGGGTTTATTGCAGTGGTCTCCTAAGTCGTCTCCCTGCTTTTACCCTGACCTCTCCTGCTGTTAGAGTAAGGTTAAGCTATGGTAACAGAGACCCGGTGATGCAATGGCTTGCTGCTTAAACATAGTGCTTTCTCTCTCACCGGTTGTTAGGATGATCGGAGCTCTGCTCTTCAGTGATGCAAAACCCCAAAACCAGGGCTTCTTCTGAGTCCTTGCTTCTCATCTCCGTGGGTCTTGTCATTATTTGCATGTCAACACTAGGTAACTACTGTGTCTGAGTTGTGGCTTTCAGGAAGGGAAAAGACATTCCGGGCAAGGAATTTATTTTTCATCCAGTGACTGAGAAATTTCACAAATCATTTTATTCACATTCCATTCCAGGTGGGCTTATGCTTAGGCCAATACCCACACTCAGCTGCAAGGAAGGCTGAGAAATGTAGCCTGTGGCTGAGCAGCTGCTTGCACCTAAGAAGAAGGAGAGATTGAATATGGAGGGTACAGTCATACCCCTATAGTCTATTCTCCAGTTAGCATCCAGGATGTTCCCTTTAAAACGGGAGTCGGATAATGTTTCTCCTTTGCTCACAGCTCTTCAGAGGCTTTCCAGTATCTTTATACTTACATCCCCATTTCTCATCACGGAATACAAGACTTCCAATCCCGGCACCTCCCTGCTTCTTTCACCTCATTCCTACCACCAGCAGGATCCTCGATTTGTAGCATTTGTCAATTCCAAAGTATGAATACTCCCACCGAGCCTGGTATCAGCTACCAAGGTGACATCACCGATTGCAAGGTTGGAAAGAGAGGCACAGTTTCGGCTTTCGTGAGCTAGTAGAACCTGCCTTCAGCGCACTACTACCTACCATTCTCCAGTTACTCACATTTCTCTGGCCACATTCGTTTCTTTCCTGTTCCTTTAAGATAGTACTCCTCAAGCGTGGTTCCCCAGACCAGGTGGATCAGCATTACCTTGCTAGAAATGCAAATTCTTGGGCACCATCCCAGACCTACTGATTCAGATGCTTTGTGTGTAGAGCCAGCAAACTGTTTTAACAAGCCCTCCAGTTGATGCTGGTGTGAGTTCAAGTTGGAGAACCACTGCTCTAATATTTACTGAGCTTCCTCCCAATTTGGGGCCTTTATTCTTCTGCATTCTCTTCTATCTGATATTCTCTTCCTCCAGAGCTTTCTGTTATCCAGGTCTCTGTGCAAATATCAGTTCCTCTAAGTGGACTTCCCTTCTTCCATTTCCACTCTAGTCCCCTTACTAGAATATAAGCTGACAGCAGGGAGTTTGTTCTGTCTTCTGCATGTGCAGTACCACAAACAGGGCGTGACACATGCTAGGTAGAAGCAAATAATAAGTCAGATGAATTATTATATAAGCAGCATTTAAGTTAGCTTTATATTCTAATAAGTACCTTGAGAAATGACTAAAAAATAAACATAAAAATGAGAAAGGAATTATATTCATACTGTTAGAGACTATTTGTCCTCCTTCTCTCACTTCTTAACCTGAAAATCAATGGAGTAGTTCAGGTAGAAGTTGTCTCCCCTTTCCCTCCTTCCCTCCTTCCTTCCTTCTTCTCTCTCTTTCTCTCTCTTTTCTTTCTTTTTTTCAGAGTCTCTCTCTGTTGCCCAGGCTGGAGTGCAGTGGTGCAATTTTGGCTCATCGCAATCTCTGCCTCCCGGAGTCAAGTGATTCTTGTGCCTCAGCCTCTTGAGTAGTTGGGATTACAGGCACCCTCCATCACACTCGGCTAATTTTTGTGTGTTTGGTACAGATGGGGTTTCACCATGCTGGCCAGGCTGCTCTTAAAACTATGGGCCTCAAGTGATCTGTCCCCCTCGGCCTCCCAAAGTGCTTTGATTACAGGCGTGAGCCTGTAAACACCAGGCCCACATCGTCCCTTTTTGCTAAAATCCTTATTGATATGGAATTCATACACCATACAATTCATCTATTTACAATGTTTAATTCAGTAGTCTTCAGTATATTCACAAAGTTATACATCTGTAACCTAATCAGTTTTAGAATATTTTCATCGTTCCAAAAAGAAAGCCCAGACCCTTTGACAGTCAACTGCCCTTCCCCATTTGTCTCCACTATCCCAGCTCCTGGCAGCTGCTACTTTCTGGCTTTATGGGCTTGCCTCTTCTAGACATTTCATGTAAATGGAATCACAAAATATGTGTTCTTCTGTGACTGGCTCCATTTACTTAGTATACTGTTTTCAAGGTTCATTCAACTTAGTATACTGTTTTCAAGGTTCATTCATGTTATAGCTTGTATCAGTATAGTGGGCCCCCCATATCCGTGGTTCCACACGTATGAATTCAAACAACAGCAGATTGAAAGTAGTTGAAAAAAATAAAGACACCAAAAATAAAAAATACAGTATAACTATTTACATAGCATTTACATTGTATTATAAGTAATCTAGAGAAGATTTAAAGTATAAGGGAGAACGTGTGTAGCTTATATGCAAATACGACATCATTTTATATAAAGTACTTAGGCATCCATGAATTTTGGTATCCTCAGGGGGTACTGGAAACCTCTGCTTGTAGATATTGAGGGACAATCGTACTTTGTTTCTTTTTATTCCCGAATAATATTTGATTGTATGCCCCTATCATATTTATTTGTCATAATATTCATCAGTTGATGAGTACCTGGGTCTTTCCACATTTTTCTATAATGAATAATGCTGCTGTGTACATTGAAGTACAAGTGCTTGTGTAGACATGTGTTTTCATTTCCCTTGGTTACACAGTACCCAGTGGTGGAATTGATGGGTTATATAGTAACTCTATGATTAAACTTTGAGGAACAGCCAATTGTTTTTCAAAGAAGCTGCACCATTTTGCATCCACATTGCCACTAGGGGTGCATGAGAGTTTCAATGTATCTACACCCTTGCCAACACTTGCTATTATCTGCTTTTTTATTATCACCATCCGAGTAGCAATGCAGAGGTATCTCATTGTGGTTTTTAAAATGTTTATTTATTTTAATTTCTGAAAAATGTTTTATTTTTCATTTTTATATGTACAAAGTATTTGTGGTTTTGATTTGCAATCCCCTGATGACTAACAACATCAAGTTCCTTTTTATTTTCTATTGGCCATTTGTACATCTTCTTTGTAGAAGTGTCTGTTCAAATCCTGAGCCCATTTTAAAGTTGGGTTATTTGTCTTTTTAGTATTGAATTGTAATAGCTCTTTATATATTTTAGATAGAAGTCCCTTATCAGAAACATAATTTGCAAATTTTCCCGTTCTATGGCTTGTCTTCTCACTTTCTGTATGGTATGCTTTGAAGCGCAAAGTTTTAAATGTCTTTGAAGTCCACATTATTTCTATCTTTTGTTGCTTTTGTTTTTGGCATCATATCTAATAAACCATTTCTAAATTTCAAGTCATGCAGATGCCTGTGTTTTCTTCTACTTCTAAGAGTTTATAGATTAGCTTTGATTCGTTGAGTTCGTCTTTGACTCATTTAGATCTTGGATCAATTTTTAGTTAAGTTTTGTATGTGGCTTAAGGTAGGGATCCAATTTTATTCTTTTACATGTAGATATCCAATTGTCCCAACACCATTTTTAAAAAAACACTATTCTTTCTAGATTGAATTGTCTTCACACACTTGTTAAAAATCAGTTGACTGTAAATGTAAGGGTTTATTTCCAGATTGTCAATTCTATTTAATTAATCTGTATGTCTATTCTTCTGCCGAGGCTCTGGTCCTTTTAATCAATGTCAATTTCTTCATATCTTAGGGCCCATTTCACTGCACAAACTTATGTTTTATTCCAAAGCAATTTTATCTGCTTATTTTCATTCCACAAATGCAGTCAGTTTTCACGAATGCAGTTTGTACATTTAACAAAATGTAGTCAGTTTTGACACCTGAGAGGAAAGAAGGACTGCAAATTATAAAAGGCAATGTCTCCTACTTCAAATCAGTGGAAACTCTTCTGAATACCAGAAGAAGGAATTGGATGATTCCAACCAGAAGAACAGTAATATTAAAATTGTGATTGCCTCATCTGGATCCCAGATGTGGTAGCTATCTCCTTCTGAGAGAGAGAGAAAGAGAGAGAGAGAGGGGAGAGGAGAGAGAGGAAGTCATAAGCACATGTGTCTAAAATAAAATATCTGGAGACACATATTACTTGGCAACGTTAGTGAAGAATTTTTATATGTTGACGAAAATTTAGCTGATCAGTTCTCCTTTCTGACAGAATAAATTATTCTTCCTGGGAAATCGGGGTGCCGTATTTCACCAATACTTCTCCACTCACTCCCACCGCAATACTCATATGTCTGGGGTCCTATAGTTGCTTCCATGTGAACTTTTTTTTCAAAGATGGGGTTTCACCATGTTGGTCAGGCTGGTCTTGAACTCCTGACCTCAGGTGATCTGCCCACCTTGGCCTCCGAAGTGCTTGGATTACAGGGGTAAGCCGCTACGCCTGGCCCCATGTGAACATTTTATGTTGATGAACACATTTGCTTTATCTTTTGTCCAGAAAAACAAAAGATTAATTCTACCCCCAGTAAAAATTGAAATACCTAAAAAGTCTCATCAGATGGAGCCTTGGACACTATCCTAAAGTAATCATATCTCAACAAAATCAAACATATAAATTATGCTGTGATCTCTCCAAGAGAACTTCAAGCTGTAGCACTCTGGAATGTAAAAGAAGCTTGCCTCATTTTGGGGAGCACCATTTTTAAGGAGTTTCAATTAAATAGTACATAGGACATATTTTTTCCGAAGTACATTTTCAGTTTTCAAAACCATGTGTTATTTACAGAAAATAGAATTCATGTGTTTTTGATTCATTTACACTTAACTCATTAAAAAATTCCTGTTAAACCACTTGGTATTCAAGGACTTTTCAGTTTTCTAAATAGTTTCCAAAAGCCTTCTTAAAGATATGAAATGGTGTTAAATAAATATGTACATGAGTTTCCAAACCATGTTCATAGTTTTTCTTTGGAATTTTTTGCCTTTAATTAGTAAAATGTGCTTTTCTCCTAGCCAGAAAGAGATGAATGTGTGAAAATGTATCATTTGTCAATGCAGGAAAGGCTAAATTTACAAATAAGAAGTTTTAAATATCACCAATCAACAAATAATTTGATTCACATATACGCTACAAAATAAAGGTCAGATAAACATCATAGATTTAGGAGGAAGAAAGTGGATTAACAATTATTGAACAGTTCTTGGGTGCTATGTACTTAGCACCATATGCATGTAGAATTTAATTAATAGGAGATGGGTATTTTCATCACACTTAAACAGATGAAAAAATCGAGGCCCAGACAAGCTGAATAATCTTCTCAAAGCTACATAGCTAATGAGACAGAGCCAGAATTCAAAGGTCTGTATGATTCTTCAGTCCATGGTATTTCAGCTACCTATTTTACATCCCTCTGGATTTGAAATGAAGAGATCTGTTTTTAAATTACTGTACTTTTACCTAATACAAATGCAAACAAGCCTTAGCTTCCTTGACTGTAGATTAGGGACAGTAACGTCCACTTCATAAAGCTGCTGTTAGAGGAAATAAAATAATGCATGTATAAATACACCTGGATTGAAATGAGTTGGTTCTCTTACCAACAGAGAACCTGTTCTCTACAGCCTTGTCCCTTGTCATAACCTGTGTTGTATGAAACTTCTATACATTTTTATACAGCACAGGTTAACCCTTACAAATTGTAGATTTCATGTCTATTCCACCTTATGAAATTTTCAGATTCCCCAGGGTCATAGAATATAATTAAAAGTTCATACTGATTTTATTCTAAATTTACATATGCAACTTCATCTTCTTTTATTTCCACAATAAAGCTTTAACTTTAATCAGAATAATTTACGCCCACACCCCAACCCCAACATACACAGTTCACTATTTAGAAAATTGTGGTAAAATACACATCATGAAATTTACCATTTTAACTATTTTTAAGTTTACAGTTCAGTGGAATAACTTAATAGTACATTCCCATTGTTGTGCAACCATAACCATTATCTCACACTATGCTCTTCCAGGTAGCATTTCACCATGTCCCATATTGAAACTCTCTTTCTATTTATCAACCCTTAGTCTTCATCTAAGATCTGACTCAACCCCCTCATCCACAGAATCTTCTGTGTTTGTCTGACTTGTATCAAATGTTGAAAGGGAGTTTCTCATAGTGGTTGAGTTTATAAACTCTGGGTTAGATTGTTCAAGTTCAAGTTCTGTCTGTGTTACTCCATAACTATATGGCCTTGGGCAAGCAAATCAACCTCTCAGTGTCCTAGGTATTTACCCAAATGATTTAAAAACTTGTGTCCACACAAAAACCTGCACGTGAATGTTTATATCTGCTTTCTTCATAATTGCAAAAAACTGGAAGCAACCAAGATGTCCTTCAGTAGTTGAGTAAGTAAACTGTGGTATATCCATGCAATGAAATATTCAGTAATAAGAAGAAATGAGCTATCAAGTCATGAAAAGACATGGAGGAAACTCAAACACATGTGGCTAAGACTGGACAAGCCAGTCTGAAAGGCTACATATTGTATAATTCCAACTATAAGACATTCTGTAAGAATGCAAAACCATCAAGACAATAAAAAGATCAGTGGTTTCCAGGGGTTTGGAGTGATTGGTGGGGGTAAGTAAGGGGAGGAGGGATGAATAGGTGGAGCTAGGGGAATTTTAGAGCAGTGAAACTATTCTTTATGATACTATGATAGTTACATGACATTGTGCTTTTGTCAACACCCCTATGAATTGTACCCTAATGTAAACTATGGACAATTGCAACAAATGTACTACACTAATGCAATATGTTAACAGTAGGGACAACTGAGGTGGGGAAGGTGAGGGGGTGTATGGGAACTCTCTGTAATTTCTGCTCAATTTTTCTGTAAGCCTAAAACTGCTCTAAATATTAAAATATATTAATTTAAAAAGCAAACTGAAAAATTAACAATCAATAACAAAATGATATCTGGAAAATCTTCAAATATTGGAAAATATGTATCATACTTCTAAGTAATCTATGGTCAAAGAAAAAAAACAAAAGGATTTTAAACTGAATGAAATTATTTTTAACTGAACAAAAATAAAAACGCAACAAATTAAAATTTATGAGATGCAGCTAAAGCTGTACTTACAAATTTATAGCATTCAATGTTTGTTAGAAAATGAGAAAGTCCTCAGGTTTTCTACCTTAAGAAACTAGGAAAAGAAGAAAAAACAAAAACCCCAAATTAACAGAAGAAAGAAAATATTACAGACCAGAGCAGAAATCAATGTAAAAGAAAACAGAAAAATTAGAGAAAATCAGTGAAAACCTAGATCTTTGAGAAGGCTAAATAAATAAATAAATAATAAATAAATAAATCTTACCTGGAAAAATAATGAGAATACACTAATAATCATATCTGTTGGTTTGCAGTCCAATGTTCTACCCCTGATAATAACCATATCTGAAATGAGAGTAGTAACGTAAATACAGGTTATGTTTCAGATGCTAAAAGGATAAAATGAAAATATTATGAATAACTTTATGCCAATAAATCTGACAACTTAGATGAAATGGACAGATTCCTTGAAGGATACAAACTACCAAAGCTTATCCAAGAAGAAATAGATGACATAAATATGTACATATCTATTAAAAGATTGAATTTGTATTTAAAAATTTACCCACCGGAAAAAAAAAAAACCCAAAAAAACCCAGGCCCAGATGCCTTCACTGCTGAATTCTACCAAACATTTAGGGAAGAAAATAATACTAATTCCACATAAACACTTCTAAAAAATTAAAGAGGAGGGAATACTTCCAACTCATTTTGTGAGGCCAGAATTACCCTGATCAGTGGTAAAAACCACAGACCAATCCCCCTCATAAAGTTTGATATAAACATCTTTTTAAAAATGTAACAAATTGAATCCAACAATATATAAAAAGAACCAAAAAAGGCCTATCCCGGGAATACCAGGCTGACTTAATATTTGAAAGTCAGTCAATGAAATTCACTCTTGTGACAGACTAAAAAAGAAAAATAAATGATAATCTCAGTAGTTGCAATAAAAGCATTGGACAAAATCTAGCATCCACTCATGATAAAAACTCTCAGCAAATGAGAGAGAAGGAAATCTACTCACGCTGATAAACAACATGAACAAAAAAACGCTATTGATAAAAAACTGAAGTTTTATTTCTACCCTAAAAAATAAATGTTTTGTTTCTACCTTCTGAGATCAGAAGCCATAGAAAAATGTACGCTGTAACTGTTTCTATTCAACATTAGTACAATAATGTAAGAAAATAAAAGAAAGGCATCGAGATTGGGAAGGGAAAACTAAAACTGTATTTGCCAACCATATGATCATGTATATAGACTGTCCATGGACTCTGCAAAAAAGCTGGTAGAGCTAGTAAGTGACGTTAGCAAGGTTACAGATTACAAGGTAAATTTTTTTTTTAAATGCAATTTTATTTCTACATACTACAGCAAACAATTGAAATCAAAATTTAAGAAATTATTATTTACAGTGGCATCAAAAACATAAAACACATAGAAAAAATCTGACAATGCATGGGTAAGACCTGTCCACTAAAAAGACTAAAACATTGCTACTAGAAATTAATGACCCAAATAAAGGAAATAATTCTCCACATTTCCCAATTCTCCCCAAACTGATCTATAGATTCTATGTAATCCCATTGAAAATCCCAGCAGGCTTTTATTGAATAAATTAACAGTCTGATTTTATCATTCATATGAAAATGCACAGGACGTAGAAGAGCTAAAACAACTTTGCAAAATGGAAAAAAATTGGAAGGCCAACACTACCTGATTTCAAAACTTTAATAAAGCTATCTTAAACAAGAAAGTATGATATTGGTAAAAATATGGACAAATAGATCACACAGAGAACCCACAAATGCTGAGACGTATGCATACATGATCAACTGATTTTTGAAAAAGATGCAAAGGCTTTGCAAAGGAGAAAGATTGTCAGCAAATTATTCCAGAGTAATTGGATATCTATATTCAATAAGTATGTAAACAAATAAATATCCTCAATGCATATCTTGCACCATATACAAATATATTAAAAAATTCATTCAAAATAGATCATAGACCTATCTCTAAAACCTAAAACTATAAAACTTCTAGAAGATAACAGGAGAAATCTTTGTGATTTTAGCTTAGGTAAAGACACATCACCCAAAGCGTAAGTCATTAAAAAATGTGATGAATTATATCACGAAATTAAAGACTTTTGCTCTTTGAAAGACACCGTTCTGAGAAAGACAAGACAAGCCACAGACAAGAAAAAATAATTTCAAGCCATATATTACATAAAGGACTTGTGTTCATAACACATAGAGATTTCTCAAAATCTACATATATTTAAATATCCAATAAAAAAAGTGTAAAACGTTTGAACATATACTTTACCAAAGACGATATATGGATGATAAATAAATACATGAAAAAATGCTAAGTATCATTAGTCATTAGGAACATGCAAAATTTTAAGCCACAAACACATCTATTAGAATGTCTAAAATTAAAAAGATTGACTATACTAAGTATTGGTAAGGATGCAGCACCGGAGTGAGATGAGTGAGGAGACTGTGTCCTTTAGATTACATCCTAAGTGTTTCTCTGGTTTCACCCTAGTCCTGGAACTGCATGTAAGTTAGCCATTCTGTTCCTTTTCTTCAACTATTGTATTTGCCAAGAGATTCACAAGTTTGTTTAAAATAGAAACGTTAGGCTGGGCGAGGTGGCTCACACCTGTATTCCCAGCACTTTGGGAGGCCAAGGTGGGTGGATCACAAGGTCAGAGGTTCAAGACCAGCCTCACCAGGATGGTGAAACCCCGTCTCTACTAAAAATACAAAAATTAGCCGGGCACAGTGGCAGGTGCCTGTAATCCCAACTACAAGGGAGGCTGAGGTAGGAGAATTGCTTGAACCCGGGCAGCAGAGTTGCAGTGAGCTAAGATTGTGACCTTACACTCCAGCCTGGATGATAGAGTGAGACTCCATGTCAAAAAATAAAAAAATAAAATAAAATAAAATGGAAAAGTTGAGGTCTGAATTTCCCAGTGCTCTCTTAGCATTTCTCCAGAGCCAATGCAAATTACAGCACATTCATTCGATTGCTGTTTTACTAAGGTTGCTTCCCAGTCCCCTTAGGGATGAATGTTGAATTTTATCAAATTTTGGCATCTACTAAGATGATCATATGACTTTCTCCTTTAAACTTTTCAGACACTGAATTAACTTAAGTTTTATTTAAAACATTTTAAATTAGGAAACATTTCAAACCAACTGAAAAATACAAACAATAATGTAATAGACACATATGTACACACTACCCGTATTTATAGACCTTAGCATTTTGCCGTATTTGTTTCAGCTCTCTCTCTCTCTCTCTCTGTCTCTTTCTTTTATCAAATGGAGTCTCACTCTGTCACCCAGGCTGGAGTGCGGTGGGATGATCACTGCTCACTTCAGCCTCTTCCTCCCGGGCTTAAGCAATCCTACCTCAGCCTCACGAGTAGCTGGGACTACAGGCACCTGCCACTATGCCCAGCTGGTTTTTTTGTGTTTTTGGTAAAGATGGGGTTTTGCCATGTTGCCCAGGCTGATTTTGAACTCCTGAGCTCAAGTGATCCACATGCCTTGGCCTCCCATAATGCTGGGATTACAGACCTGAGCCACTGCACCCAGCCTCACTCTCTTTAGATAAACAAAATGAATAAAGTTCTCCATGTCCTCCATTTCATCCTTTCACTTCTGTTAAACTAGCCTTCTACTGAAGTTGGTATGTTCATTATGAATATTTTAATAGATTATATGTGATTTTATTTTATGTTAAAAATTTTACGCAAACGGTATCATACTGAATGTATCATTTTGCAATGTGCATTCATTTTTATTTTAGTTCATGTTTTTTATTTACTATGCTTTTAGATTGTGTTTCTTTTTTGCCTTCTACGGTCGATTATTCTTCATTTCTTTTTATTTCTTCTCTTCATTTTAAAGTTACATATTTTATTTCTATTCTGAATCCTCCTGCTGAAAAAATGAAAAATGTTGAAAAAGCATGAATTTTTTTTCTCAGAAACATTGTAGAACTGTCAAGGTCGTAAGGAATTACAGGCTAAAATCTGAGAAAATCCTGGAGTCTGGGGCGATAAGCTGAACACAAATACACTGAAGCTGCCTTTGCTCTGAGGGAATTTGTCAATCTGGACAGATTTGAACCTTGGTTTTAGCAGATGTATACATGGAGGATCTTGAAGTTGACACCCAGGGCCTATCCAAGGAGGGGATCCTACCAGATGAGCCATCACCCAAAGGGGTGTCACCCTCAGAGTAAAAGAAAACCTGAAATATACTGCTATGGTTTCAACTCAGGTTGAAACTTAATCTCCAAGAAACACTTTTAAAAATTGGGTCTTTTAGAGGCAGACGCCTCATGACTGGATTAGTCCATTCATGGATTAATGAGTCGATAGGTTAATAGGTTAATGAGTTATCTTGGGAATGGGTTAGTTACCACCAGAGTAGATCTGTTATAAAAAGCCAGTATGGCCACATATTATAAGCCCCTTTACCATGTGATGCCCTATACTGCCTGAGGACTCTACAGAGAGTCTCACAACCAGCAAAAAGGCCCTCACCAGATGCAGACCCTCAATCTTGGACTTCCCAGCCTCCAAAACTGTAAGAAATACATTTCTTTCCTTCATAAATTACTCCGATATTTAGTTACACTACCCTCCCATGCTCCAGAGGTAGAAGGGAATGTTGCCTTAACACTGAGAACAGATGTAAAAAAAAAAAAAGAGAGAACTCCTCCCTGAAAAGCTGCAGCCCCCACCAAGAATTACAGAGCCGGGTTTGGATAGTAAGGGAACCTGAAACCATGAGATTGGATAATGTGGTTCTGACTGGTGGAAGAAAATCCTCACTCGAAGAAGGTAACTTCATCCTGGGCCTCAAAGAATTCCAATTTTTTTACATATTTTAGGGACAATAATCAGTGCACCGTAAAACACACATGTGCACATGTGCATACACACACACACAGAAAATATCTCATGAGAAAAAATATAGACAAGAAATTTAGCAGATATATGAATTATCAGAGTCTATTTAAAATTTAAAACATCAAAATACTCTAAAAAGTTATATTTGAAAAGAACCAATGTTACTGTATAGAAATAAATATAAAAAATGAGAAAATTAAAAATCAGTGGACAGGCTGGACCTGGTGGTGCGTGCCTGATATCTCAGCTACTTGGAAGGCTGAGGAGGGAGGACTCCCTGAAGCCTGAGTCCAGTCTGGGCAACATAGTGAGACTCTGTCTCTTAAAAAAAAAGTCAGTGGATAAATATAACAGCAAATTAGAAGACATATATATTAAGAAATTATGAAGAATGCAGCATAAATGTACAAAAAAGGAACTATAAAAGAAAAGTTAGGAGACATGGAGGAGACTGGGGGAATCTAACATTTTTAAATCAGTTATCAAAGGAGAGGAAGGAGAGAAAGGAGCAGAGGATGTTCTAGAACTAACGAAGACACTCATTTCAGATGCCTTGCCATCCCACAATAGCTCTCAAATGTTCGCAAAACAGGCTATTCCATTTTAAAAACACTACTCCACTCATGACCTACAAATGAGAAGCTTCATTTATGTATTGCTATTTAATATGTCATTTAAATTTTCACTTTCATATCTGATAAATTGCAACTCTAGCCATCTTGGGCCAATATTAACTTCAAAAAACTGGCAAGTGTCAGGTGGGCCATTCTATAATAAGAAATTAACGTCTTGATGCTCGATGGATTTTTTAGTATACAAATTTTTTTGTAAAAGGGTGGCATTTCACATTTCCCATACTAAATTTACTGCTGCCACGTTTTATGGTGTGGAACTCTGAAACATCAGTCACTCACTTGTCTGTAATTCAGAGGGGACACAAATTACTTTCTGAAGACTTTCTCATCCTTATTCCTAGTACTTTATTTCTTTGGCACGACTCCAAGTGCCAGGTGGAGTGACTTTCTACTGTGCAGCTTTTTGCATCTTTTAATATTCATCAGAAAATGTCAATGCTACCCCCCAGCTCTGTTGGTTATTAAAACATAAAGCTCCGTACTTAGTGACAATGAATAGATGCTTTCTAGGTATTTCTCAGGAGAGTTAATCTTAAAGTCAGAGCTCTTCACTATATGTTAAAAGCTCAGTTGAAAGAAATACTAAGGAAGACTGTTGGCAGGATTTGCAATTCATTCATTTCTCTGGATACATGAAAATCTACCTCTGGATTAAGACATACCATACATAGAACCTTGCCTATGATGACCCAATAGAGAAATTATTTTCTGGTTTTAATTCAAGCATAGTTTTGCTTTCTCAAAAAAATGATTTACTTTCTGCATTGCAGACAATGTATCTGTCTATTTATGGCCCAGTGCCCTGCTACTGCTTCAGGGCTTAGACTCAGGGAGACAGGATATCTGCATAGCTTTCAGTTCCGTTTTTTGATGTGGTCACTTTGATGTAGTTACAGACTCATCAAAATGGCCATGGTTATGACCAAGTATAAATTCATTTTTATTTTTTATACCTCATTCCTTATACTCACTTCAATCCGGAGCCTCGTCACAGTGCTGATCTTCACCCCAACTGAGGATGTCAGTAACTGCAGGACGCTCAGGAATGGGCTGAAAACAGTCATTTGGCACATTGTGTCAAAATAAGAACAAAAAATGTGCAAGAATTTCTATTTTAGTCTGTACCAAAATGTGCCCCAGTCAAACTGATTGCATCAAAAATTTAAATACTCGGGAGGCTATTAATATAACAAATGCCGGATTCATTTAACAAATTTTATTGTGTCTCAGCTGTGGGTTAGGTATCTGGTACACGAAAGTGAATGAAATACTACAAGATAAGCCCAAATTGATGGCAAAGAAATTAATCTAATATTTGAGAGTGAAGCTAGTAGAATCTGTACATAGTAGAAGTAAGCAGCTACTCAGAAAGAAGCTGAAGGGTCTGTGTGTAGATAATAACTAAGGAATTCTGGAAAGAAAGTTAAAATGAAATTCATTGAGCATATTTGTTATGAGCTGGTCCTGTGTTTTTAACCTCATTGAAGAGTGCCCAAAACTTCAAACAAGGTAAAAAGAGAACAATCGCAAGAAAAGGTGATTGTATTGCTATGCTATAATAAATCTAGCTCAAGCTAATCAATTTTACTGTACTTTGGCAGAAGAAGAAATATTTTAATAAAGACATACTGCTCCGCACATCTTCTACAGTGATGCAGTAGACCAAAAAAAAAAAATCCAAAGAATGCTTGCCATTTATTCCTTCATTTGTTTATGCATTTGTAAAACACTCATGGAGGCCTGGTGTAGATTTTGTGAAATGTAGGTTTACTGAAAATGTAAAGACCAATAAGACACAGTCTTCACTCTCATCAAACTTGCAGTCTAATAGAGAGCAACAGATCAGTAAACCAATAATTATAATATAGGCCGACTATGGCTATAACTATTAATAATAATTACTTACTGTATTTAGTCAGCCATGGACATAATACTGCATAAGAATGCAGTGATTTGAAATTGCAGTTGTATTCTCTAGGTCACAGTCTGTGGGCTAAATAGGTAAAACTCCAGCCCCTGGGTTTTGGGCTCCAGGATACAGGTTGGGTTTAGGTCAGCTCCATATATTCCTCGTCTTTGGACCAGCAGCTGCCTGGGGTTTGTGGTCTGTTCCATGTGTCTTACTCGGGGACTAGGGTAAATAATCCGCAGCTGGGACATGCTCTTCTCCTCACTGAAATGGGAGGGCAAGGTCAAGCACACAGCATAGGTCAAGCCTCTGAATTACAAATGCTGACATCCTATTGGCCAAAACCCAAAACATATGACCAAGACTAACGTAAATAGGGCAGGAAAGAAACTATACTTGCAGTCTACAGGAGCAAATATTTGCTGAACAATAATCCAAACTCACACATACACAGTGCAATTGGAAAGAGTAGAGAGGGATTATGTAAGTCAAAGTTCTTGGTTATAACCAGTAGAGACAGACTCTGGCATATTTAAGCAGAAAAATAATTTATTAAGGAGCCATTGGTTAGTACATAAAGTCTCTTGAAAGGCTTAAAAACCAGTCCCAGAGACTGCAATCAGGTACAACTTCCAAAATCAGGCAGCACTAGGCTGGAAAGGATACCACTGTTATTGCCAGTAGCACAGACACTCCCACGTTAACTGCCCACACCACCAGTACAACACTGTTGCTGGAACTAGGGGCACTACTGCCTCTCAAAATTGATTTTAACCGCCTTCTCTGCTGCTACACATTGTCGCGGTTCTGAAAAAATGCTCTTTTTCATGCCATCACCATCTAATTAAAAATCTGGGACATACATATTTGATTGGCAGATCCTGGATCACATGCACATGCGCTAATTCGAGGGATGTGGGAAAGCAAGTGTCTGGCATTTTCAGTTTTTCAAGAGGTGGAAGTTTCCATCTCATCATGGCAACATCTCAAACATAGGTAGGGGACTCAGATGCTGTGCGGCAAAAAAGAAGAATGAGAAATTTCCTTTACACGCACACAGATGAAGGCAGAGGTATCAGGAGAGGCTTCCCAGAGTAGATAAAGTTCAAGTTGAGTCTTAGAGAATAAACAGGAGTTAGAGAGTTGAAAAAGAGCAAACATGGCCTTTGAGGTAGAAAGAGTCCTGAGAAAATAGCGTATTTGCGGATGAGCCTTAGTTTAGCGTAGCTTAAGTACAACATATGGGGATGGATGTGTATGGAGTGGTCATGGAAAAGTGTCATGAGATTAGTTGGTGAAAGGTATAGGAGATACATCGTGAAAGCCTCATACTTTTTTTGTTTTTTGTTTCTGAGACGGAGTTTTTCCTCTGTTGCCCAGGCTGGAGTGCAATGGTGCAATCTTGGCTCACTGAAACCTCTGCTTCCTGGGTTCAAGTGATTCTCCTGCCTCAGCCTCCTGAGTAGCTGGGATTACAGGTACCTGCCACCATGCCCAGCTAATTTTTGTATTTTTAGTAGAGATGAGATTTCACCATGTTGGCCAGCCTGGTCTTGAACGCTTGACCTCAGGTGATCCACCTGCCTCAGCCTCCTGAAGAGTTAGGATTACAGATGTGAGCCACCATGCCTGGCCAAGCCTTTTATGTTATGTACTGTTAATTGGTCAGGATATAACATAGGAGAAAGACAAAACAGGTATTTCATGTAGAAAGGTATTTAATTCAAGGAAATGTAGCATTGGCAGCAGGACAGTATAGATTACGCGGCTGCTGTGGTTTCATAGGTGAGATCTAAGGTTCAGCAAACTGCTGCTGCTCTTGCCATTGGGGCTACCTCCGTTACCCTCACATCTGTGGAGGTGGTGAGTGGACATCAGGACTCCAAGTTTAGGTACTATAATTGCCTCTTTACACCAGCATCTTCAAAACTTTGCTTGCCAGTAGCAACAACAACAGAATATTGCTTCTACCGCATTTTTATCATCCAGATCTGGTGGTAGCACATCAAATTGGCAGAATCTACTACATCTGGAGATCTAGTGGCGCCAGTGTATGGGGAATATAGGTGGTTTTTTTGTTTGTTATATTTTTTTTAGCTTTCCATCATCTCTGATTAGAAGGAGAGTGGAAGGAGATTAACGTAGCCAATCCAGAGTGTCTAGCACAACATATATGTTGTGTTATGTGACCTTGAGGTTTATCTCAAGGACTATGAAAACAATTAATATATATTTAAAGCGTGAATATTACACCCTTAGATTTGCTTTCTGAAAAGTTGTTTCAGTGACACTGGAAGGAATTAATTGCAAGAATACAATAAAAGATTTTTATAGCAACTCAAGTGAGATAGGGTAGAATAACTGGTAACTGGGAATAGGGCAGGGGTTGGGGAAATACAAAAAAGGTAGAATCTTCAGAACACGGTACAGGTTCAGTTGGTTATAGTGGGGACTAAAGAAGGAGAAGATGAAGTTTACTCTCAGTTTTCAGAGTTGGATAATTGAAGGAGTGGTTGTGCGACTCATCAAAATAGAATAGAGAAAGAAACATAATTAGTTCAAGAAGTGTTTAGCTTTCAGGTTCTGTGAGACAGTTAAAAGGAGTTTTCAAGTTTGGGGTAAGGAATATGGCTCTGATGCTTTGGCGAGGGATGTAGTTTGAACATATAAATTCAGCAATCATGAGCATATAGATAAAAGTCAGTGTCATAGGAAAATTCAATGAAATGTATTTTGATAACTAACACTAGCTACTAAAACAAATTGCCAAATATTCTTAGTGGCTTAAGATATTAAGCTTTGGCCGGGCGCGGTGGCTCAAGCCTGTAATCCCAGCACTTTGGGAGGCTGAGGTGGGTGGATCACGAGGTCAAGAGATCGACGCCATCCTGGTCAACATGGTGAAACCCCCTCTCTACTAAAAATACAAAAATTAGCTGGGCATGGTGGTGCATGCCTGTAATCCCAGCTACTCAGGAGGCTGAGGCAGGAGAATTGCCTGAACCCAGGAGGCGGAGGTTGCAGTGAGCCGAGATCGCGCCATTGCACTCCAGCCTGGGTAACAAGAGCGAAACTCCGTCTCAAAAAAAAAAAAAAAGATATTAAGCTTTATTATCTATGCACCTCATAGTTAGTATAATTCTCTGATTCTGGTAGGGGAGATATTTCTATTCTATGAACCATTCAGAAACCCCAGGTTACTTCTCTGCAGTAGCTCCCATGTCTTCTAGAGCTCAAAATACTCTGGTGGATCCTTTGCACCCGACTTGCCCAGGAACAAAAAAGCTTGGGAGAGTGTTAAGAGTTTTTAGGGGTCAGGCTAGAAGTAAAGTTAGAATGGAGCTTCTCCAGCCAGGCGTGGTGGATCACGTCTGTAATCCTAACACTTTGGAAGGCCGAAGTGGGTGGATCACCTGAAGTCAGGAGTCTGAGGCCAGCCCAGCCAAAATGGTGAAACCCTGTCTCCACTAAAAATACAAAAAGTAGCCAGGTGTGGTGGTGCGTACCTTTAATCCCAACTACCCAGGAGGCTGAGGCAGGAGAATCGCTTGAACCTGGGAGTTGGAGGTTGCAGTAAGCCAAGATTGCACCATTGCACTCCAGCCTGGGTGACAAGAGTGAAAATCTGTCTCAAAAAACAAAAAAGAAAAAGGATGGAGCTTCTCAAACTATCTGTAGGAAAGGACCAATTAAAAAAAATTCCAATCCATTGCAGACCATTACTCTTGTTAAAGAGAATAAAAATGTGAGCATCGAGGGAACATATCTCAAAATAATAAAAGCCACCTATGAAAACCCACAGCCAACATTATATCGAACAAGGAAAAAGTTAAAAGTATTCCTCTGAAGAACTAGAACACACAAGGATGCCCACTTCCACCACCCCTTCAACAGAGTACTGCAAGTCCTAGCTAGTGCAATCAGGCAAGAGACGGAAAGAAAAGGCATCTGAACCGGAAAAGAGAAAGTCAAATTACCTCTGCTTGCTGATAATACGATTTTATATCTAGAAACTCCTAAAGACTCCTCTGAAAGACTGCTAGATTTGGTAAAAGAGTTCAGTGAAGTTTCAAGGCACAAGATCAACCTACAAAAATCAGTAGCATTTCTATACACCAATAACAGCCAAGCTGAGAATCAAATCAAGAACTCAGTCCCATTTACAATAGCTGCAATAGTAAAATAAAATACCAAGGAATACATTTAACCAAGGAGGTGACATATCTCTACAAGAAGAATTACAAAACACTGGTGAAGGAAATTGTATATGACACATAGAAAAACAACCCACGGATTGGAAGAAACAGTATCAGTAAAACGACCATACTGTCTAAAGCAATCTATGAATTCAGTGCTATTCCTATTAAATTACCAATGTCATTTTTCACAGAATTAGAAAAAACAATCTTCAAATTCTTATGGAATCAATACCAGGCATGGTGGCTCATGCCTATAACCCCAACAGTTTGGGAGGTTGAGGTGCAGATTGCTTGATCTCAGGAGTTTGAGAATAGCCTGAGCAACATAGCAAGACCCCACCTCTGCAAAGAATTTAAGAAAACTTAGCTGGGTGTGATGGAGTGTGTCTGTAGTTCAGCTACTTGGCAGGCTGAGCTGCGAGGATCACTTGACTCCTGGAGGTTGAGGCTGCAGTGAGCTGTGATTGTGCCACTGCACTCCAGCCTGGGTGACAGAGTTAGACTCTGTCTCAAGAAAAGCTAATGGAATTAAAAAAAAAAAAAAGCCTGAATAGCCAAGGCAATCCCAAGCCAAAAGAGCATGGCTGGAGGCATCACATTATCTGATGTCAAATTATACTATGAGGTTATAGTAACTAAAACAGCATGGTTTTGCTATAAAAACAGACACACAGATCAGTGGAACAGTATATAGAACCCAGAATCAAAGCCACATACCTGCAACCAATTGATCTCTGACAAAGTCAATGAAAATACACACTAAGGAAGGGACACCCTATTCAATATGTGGTGCTGGGAGCCTATTACAGGCTTGAATTGTCACTGCTGGAGTGATGAAAAGTTGCTGGATTCATGGTGACAGGAAGATAAAGGAAAATCATACAAACAGGCAAGAGCAAAACCTTCTCCCTCCTCCAGTCTGGCAGTCTCTCTTTAGTCCCCGCTATTGGCAGAGCCTAACAGCAACTGGCAAAGCACAAAGTTGTTCTGTAGAGTCCTAGTTCTCAGTATCATAAAGCAAGAAGGGTGGTTGCGGAGCTGGAATAAATAGTGGTTTACCTCACCCACAAAGCCAAGGATACAGCTGTAGGTAAAACCCTACAGAGGGTAGTTTCAGCTTGATCCTACCGGGGAATTCCGGAGTGTAAGTTATGTGCCTAGTTGTTCCTACCTAAGGCAAGGGGAACTAAAGCATTCATACGCTTGCATTTATTAGTCATTGGTTAAGAACTGCCCTTAAAGGAATATAATGTCCCAGGGACTTCCAGTCCTTGTGAAAGCAAGCAGAGTAGTTCCAAAAGCCCAAGAACAGTCCTGTGAAAAAGAGCTGCAGATCCCAGCTATTGAAAATGGAAGCACGGTGAAACTTGAGGCAATGGGAAAACTCAGAAAAGGTGGTTAAATATCAAAGGGTATATGTTTGAAGCATCAACAGTATTTATTCTGGAGACACACTTCTGCAAGCCGCCTTATTTCTATGCTCGTTTGACTACATTTGTCTCTTTTTCGATTTAATGGCTGTTACCTTGAGGCTATCTGAAATAATAGGTGCTATCTGAAACATGTGTAATCTGATCTTTTCCTAAGGGCAAGTCACTTTGTTCAAATTCTATTGGCGCCTCTTTGCTCAGTCTTTTAAAATCACATCTCTGTTCGGAATGCAGAAGGAGTAGTGTTTTCCAACCCTGCAAAGTCCCCCAGTGGTGGACTCTCTCTGTTCCCTTTAATTGCTGTTTGTAATGTTGGGGTTCAAAGGACGATACCTCAAAGTATGGTGCTTTGGGACATCCTGAACACTCCTGAATTAAAGAAAACTGGAAAGGCTTACAAACTACCTCAGAACAAGGGACTTTCTAACCTTCTCCTGTCCCTCCAATCCCCAAATACAGGGAGGGGCTCTCCCTGGAAGTTCCCTTATCTTACAGAAGAAAACGTTTTTCAAAAGAAATGCAGTTGTTCTAAAATCTCTCTAGGAAACTCATCAAATAACCAGGTAATATTAACCATAAGGAGAAGAGAAAAGACTAAGTCATTATCATGCCCAGACCGGCTTTCCTCTATTCTTCTCAGGACAATTGAGATTACCTGGAAGACTTTATCTGTAATAAGACCACCTTTGTTCAGTGAAGTTCTGCCCTTCACCTTCCTTCACTTGTTGCTGCCTCCCCTAGAGCTCAGAAGAACTTTGTTCCAGACCATTGTCCGTTCTTTGAGCCCATTCTTGTCTTCTGAAAATCATTTGCTACCCCTCAAAATTGCTTACGTCCTCTCTTTCCTTCTCTCCTACGAGGAGGGTACTTAAGCCTCAACTGTCTGGCCTTTCCTTGAGTCTCAGGTTTTCTGTGAATCCTGTGCACAGTCCACGTTAATACATTTGTATGTGTTTTCTCCTGTTACTCTATTGTCGGTTCTTTCAGCAGACTTAGACCTTCAGATACGAAAAATTTCCTTCACCCCCAACAGTAAACTGGTTAATTCTGTTCTATGCTAATGTTCTTCTGAAAATGTCTTGCTAAAAATATCAGAAATCACCAACATCCACTATAATATTGCTTTCTGAACTGTTGCCTTAGCTCTACAAGTTATGTAGATACTGATCTGCCCTCTGAGGTGCTGCAAGCCTTTCGCCACTGCCTAATGTGAGCCTTCAGCTGTCCACCCGCCACATCTGTTTCCTCAATTTCCACCTGATTGCTGTGCTGAGCTAATGACACGTTTTAGATTTTTGTTATTGTACGCCATCACTTCTGTTATTAATCAGGGTTAGTGATTTTAGCTATTGCAACAAACTACTCCCAAATCTTAGCATTATAACCAAATAAAAGTTGATTTTTTGCTCCAGTGAGTCCAGTGAGGATCAGTGTGGTGATGCAATTATTAAGAAACCCAGGGCCGGGCTCGGTGGCTCACGCCTGTAATCCCAGCACTTTGGGAGGCCGAGACGGGTGGATCACGAGGTCAAGAGATCGAGACCATCCTGGTCAACATGGTGAAACCCTGTCTCCACTAAAAATACAAAAAAATTAGCTGGGCATGGTGGCGCGTGCCTGTAATCCCAGCTACTCGGGAGGCTGAGGCAGGAGAATTGCCTGAACCCAGGGGGCGGAGGTTGCGGTGAGCCGAGATTGCACCATTGCACTCCAGCCTGGGTAACAAGAGCGAAACTCCGTCTCAAAGAAAAAACAAACCCCAGAGTTCTTCTATTTAATGTTGCTGCCATCCCCCAGCTTCACAGAGTTTTCTGTATCTGGCTGATTAGTATGTGAAAAGAAAATAGGAACTATAAATTATGGGAAGTTTGAAGGCCAGGCTTACTTAGGAGGGTGCCTGCTTCTGTTTACTTTCCACTGCCCAGAATTAGTCACACAGCCCAATATAAAGGTAAGGAAGCTGGGAAACAGGTTTCCTGAGCGCAAAGAGGAAATAAGGTGGTGAATATGTGTCATTATTTCTGTCACACTTATGATTTCAGTTGCAGGTAACAGAAAACTCAACTCAAATTGGCTTTGTGGGGGAGAAAAAACTTTTCCTCTACTTTTTGAGGTTCTGTAACTGGGGTCCTGTGAATTAAACTGACAAAGGGCAGATTACCAAGGGAAGACAGATTTTAATCACAATATGTATGTAAGGGAGATCAGAAAGAAATGTGACACAGAGGGTGGTTAGAATTTGGGGGCTTACAGACTGATATATGTCCCTGAAGGGGAGGGGGAGAAGAGCACTTATGGGGAAAAGAAATGACTTCTTAGAATGGGAAGGAGCAGAAAGGGCATTTATGGAAGTGACTTTTGGGAAAGATAAACGGGCCCTTTGGAGAATAGATGGAAGATATCATAGTTTTGTGACAATGTCTATTTAGATGTGGTGACAATTCTTGCAGTCTCTGATGGTGAGTCAATCTTCCTTGGTTGCTCCCTGGAGGGAATTTATAACAATTGAGTTCTTTTGAAACGCTCTGCTTTTAGGCAGATAAGGGATTTCGGGAACTTAAATATATTCAGCTCAAAATAATTTTTATGCCACAATGGCTTATTCTGGATCCCTTCAGCTTAAACAACAAAGGGAATTTATTGGCTCATAAAACAGAGACTTCTAGAGGTAGTATGGCTTCCACTGATGTTTTATTTGAAGGTTTATGATTCTCTCAGGGATTGGCTTCCTTTCCGTATGATTGATTCTCCCAGCCATTCCTCCTCCACGTGTTGGCTTTATTTTCAGTTGGCTCTACTTAGTAGCAAAGAAAAAAAAATAAAAAAGAAAATGTAGCTTGTAGCTCTTCCAGTATTTACATTAGAATGCTATACCATTCAGAGGAAAAGAAAAAGAACTTCCCTATTCTCTTCAATAAAACAAAAATCCTAGGCTGCCCTCTGACTGGCCTCTGAAACAAAAACTAGTTCCAAGGGCGAGGGTAACGCTGATAATTTTTGGCCAGTTGGACCATTCTTGGACCTGTGGTGGGGTGTAATAAGTCTGTCCAAATTGCATGGATGAACACAAAGTAGTTGTGGAGTGGAAGCTGGGAAATCACCCACATCCATTGCCATAATTCAGGTAAGCATGTAGAGCATAATCTCACTTAAGGAGAATGATTACTGTGAGGATACGTATAGCGAGTGTGTAACATGTAAAACAGGCTGAGAATATAAGTCAGGGGAAGAGAGGCTCGTAAAAAATGATAGGAAGGTTTAGAGACTAAGTCAGGAGAATCAAAAGAAAGGCGTTCTAGAGGCCAAGCGAGTAGGGTGTCAGAATCATCCAACTAACTTCCTGTGTGCCGATTCTATTCTCAGGAGTCATCTTTTGTAATTTGGCTTCTCATGTGAATGTTCCTTTGAATGAAAATATGTTGACCAGCTTTCTGGTCTCCATGGTAGTTATGTTTTTCATCAACAAAAACAACAAAAAAAAAATTCCAATTTTGGTTTTCACACCAGTCTCAGTAAGTTTGGTTGGTATGAATCATTCCCCAGGATTTAAATCAGTTCTGGAGACTGGCAACATTGAGCTTTTGTCTCTACAAAGTGAAGACTAGACTCTAGAATACAGGGTGCAGTCTTCTCTTTCAACCTGTTATAAATAAAAATTATAGGATGCCATTATTATTATTTTTTTTTTTAATTTTTACTTTTTATTTCCTTAGGTTTTTGGGGAACAGGTGGTGTTTGGTTACATGAATAAATTCTTTAGTGGCGATTTCTGAGATTTTGGTGCACCCATCACCCAAGCAGCATACACTGTACCCTATGTATAGCTTTTTGTTCCTCACCCCCCTCCCAGGCTCTCCCCCGAGTCCCCAAAGTCCATTGTATCATTATCATGCCTTTGCATCCTTACAGCTTAGCTCCCACTTATGAGAACATACAATGTTTGGTTTTCCATTTATGAGTCACTTCACTGAAAACAAGGGTCTCCATTTCCATCCAGGTTGCTGCGACTGCCAGTATTTCATTCCTTTTTATAAGGCTGTCATTATTTTGGACCAAACTCCTGCACTAAGCCCCAACAGACTAGACTGAAAATCAACATGGAGTTACTCATGCCAAAAAACTGAAACTGAGTTGTTTTGCCGCCTTCTGAGAAATCAGGAGAGAGATAACAGCCTAATTTCCCAAACAGGCCAGTTTAAATCTTTAATCCCCATGATAATTAAGTTCCCTGTTTTAACTCTTTTTTTGTTTGTTTGTTTTTGAGACAAAGTCTTGATCTGTTGCTCAGGCTGGAATGCAGTGGCAGGATCATGGCTCACTGCAGCCTTGAACTCCTGAAGAAATCCTCCTGCCTCACCCTCCTCAGTAGCTGGGACTACAGGTATGCACCACCACACCTGGCTGCTGTTGTTTTTACAATAGTAACCTGATATTAACCAATGAGTTTTCTTTTTCTTGTTCTGTCTCATTGCCCCACCTTACAAGGAAAGTAACTCTGAAATGACCAACTTTTTTGTTGTTCCTTCTTTCTTCAGCCCTTTTTCTGTCTATAAAGTCAACCACACCTGCTCCATCATGGGAACACCTATTCTATTTTATGGAATGAAATGGTGCCTGAATCTTGAATTGCAATAAAGCCAACTGAGATCTTTAAATTTGTTGTAATTTCACCAGACACTGTAGCATGCTTTGGTCACCTTTAGGAACTATATTTGAAAAACAATGGCAATCATGTTCCAAGATTTTGGAATTTTTTAACTTTCCATGTTTGCTGTTTTGACTATTTTCTGTCTTTTCCTGTAAAGTTTATTTCCAGGGCCAGCAGGAAAGGGAAAGCTGGGTAGATGATCCCAGGCCCAGCTGGGAGAAGAATAGGTCATGGTTACCTCTAAATACACCAGATCTGTAGGACTGATTCAAGTGGCCTTTGGGGAACATTAATTTGGGGTAGTAATCAATATGGAGACTACAGCAATAATAGACACTTGAGAAAAGCTGGGGCAACCTGGATGAGAGAGAAGACTTAATTCAAATAGGAAGGCAAATGAGCAAGATTCAGTGATTGAATAGTATGTCTGTTAAGGATCCCACTATGCAAGATTTCACGTCTTGGTCACTTACAAGCTGGACCAATAATGCCATCGCTCTTGAGAGGACAATTTCTTTAGGAACCTTTCCTTTCGGATCAGAATACAACCTTTAGCAAGTGTTTACGCAAGCAGTATCCTGGCAAGTGTTTTTCTAGCAAATGTGTCATACTTCTTATTTGTCATAACTTTTAAAAATGGGTTAAAGGTTAATATCCAGATGGCAGAGTTAGGAATTAAAGTGGGAAAGTTAATCATTTGAATTGCGTCTCTCTTGACACAGCCAACTAAAGCAGTGGAGAAGCCAGTGGTGGGGGAAGCCCTCAGGGCACATAACAGTGCTCCAGAAATGGAATTCTCTGCATACCTGGCTGCTGAAACTACCTGCTCTAACCCAAGACAGGTTTTATCTTCATGTTTTAGCTGCTGAAAGAACCTGCTGCAACAGTAAGACAAGTTTTACCAACCCCCATGACTTACTAATCAGAACTAACCAGCTGCCCAAAACTTTACCAAATGTCAATGAACTTTCTGGAAAAACAAGGGGTCACATTTCTTTTCTTTCTTTCCTTTTTTTCTAACTCCTCTTTGTTTGCCCGGCATACCGAAGACCACCCTGTATGTGTAAATAACCTGAACTTCAATTCTTGTGTCCCACACAGAACGTTAAATGTAGAGATCTGTCTCTTCCTATTTGACTTCGACAGGGGACGCAAGCAAAACCACACGTTTAAAGCAGACTTGGTAAAAATCTGCTAAAATTAGCCAATTATGAAGAGAAGCAGACGATGGATTCCTTTTTGTCTTCTGGTTTAAGTCTTCGCCCCGCAGGCCCCGCGCTTCTTTCCAACGGCGGCTCTATCCCGTGATCTCCTCACTTTCCAAGCCAAAGGACTGGGGGCCGATACACACGCGGAGGGCGCCGAACCCTCCTCGCCTGCAAAGTCCGAGCTGCCGGGATCTGGGGGCTACGGCCCGGCCCCGCCCCGCCGGCGGGCGCCTCGCACCCACGTGGGGCCCGGCCTCTGGCCCTCGCCGCTGGCCAGCGCGTGGCGGGGCGCGTGGGTCTTCGAGGGTCCGCGACGCGGCGCACATGCTGATGCCCGCCTCCCGCGTCGGCGACAAGACAGGGAGCTCGGACACCGGGAGGCTGACCCGGAGCCTACCCATGAGGCAGCGCGCCGGCTGCATGAGCGCCCCCCCCTTTCCACGGCTCGGCTGCCAGCTCCGCAATGGGAGCCGCCGCCGTCGCCGCAGTGTAGTTCTTCGTGCTCCTCCTTTTCCTCCTCCTCTTTCTCCTCCTCCTCAGGGCTCCAGTCAGGCCGATCCGCTCCGCTCACGGTAAGCGCCCCCCGCCCCCGCCCGCCCCGCGCTGCGGCAGGCAGAGGCCCTCCCGCGCGGCCTGCGCCGCCTCACTCCGGGGGCGCTGGACTGGGGGTCTTGAGGCCGACGCGGGTCGTCGGAGGCGCCCAGGGCGCGGGGGAGGAGACCCGCTGCGCGGCGGTGGCCGGACCGCCATCTTGCGTCGGCCCTGGCGGGGGAGGGATTCTGGCGCGACGCGGCGGCCGCCTCGGCTGCTGCAGGCCTGGGCCGCGCAGGCCGCCGCCTTCCGATCCTCCGCCACCTCCCGTCCTAGGCCTGTGCGCCTGTCCGTCCCCAGCCCGGTTTTGGCTTTTCTCTCCCGAGGTGACCCCCGTTGGCACATGTCGTGCCGGTGTTTGGCCGAGACCCAGCTCCTCACACCGCAGCTCCCGCGTCTCTTCAGCCGTAGGAGTGGAGACCGAGGGCGGCTCGGGACTCGCAGGCGCAGGGCCCCCATTTTGCCCAGATGACCTGTGGTTCCACGTCTGCACCCTCACTTTTGTCAAAGGGACGCCCCCCACCCTGCCGTGGAAGTCCCGTTGTCCGCAGAAGGAGGGCCCCCAGGAGAAGCGTGGAGCTGGACAGTTGCCTCAGCCTTGCAGGGTCGCTGCAGACGGAAAGGATGATCTCACTCTGAGGTTTAGCTGCGGCGACGGAAGCAGTTCCCCAGCTCACCTCGCGCTTTAACGCGTTTAAGGAGAGATTTGCTGGCGGGGAGACCTGTCAGACTGAACCCGCGTCTGCAGGCTCGGGGGACCTTTGCCCAGGGGTCTTTGTTTGCGAAGACTCGTTGGTTTAGAAAGGAAACGTCTCACTGTGGTTTCCAGGTTCGGCCGGGACTGGTCTTTCTCAGTGCTCTGAAAGTACAATGGAGCGCTAGAAGCAGAGTCGGAAGGCTCGAAAGCCCCCTCTTAGCATCTGTGAGGCGTCCTGCTTTGGGGGCCCGCCGTGCCAACTCCAGCTGCTTCCACGCAGAAACTTAGCAGGGAAGGCCCTGGCTGGCTTACACCATTGTTAGGGCCGTGTGCTTCTGACGCTTTTCACGTCACTGCAAATACCTGTAATTGTGTCTTGCGTTGATGACCCCTAATTTGTATCTCTTACTGAGTCCCTTTTGAAGTGGTCTGGGTTGCTGGAATCATTTCGAAGGCGAGAAAACAGAGCCTTAGGGAGAGGACCTGAATGAGGTCACTAGGAAGAGCCAGGGCCAATTATGTTAATAGAACCTTAGGTCTTCTGACTCCTCCAGTGCTCGACTCTAGTATATGCCGTTTTTGTGGGAATGAGGTAGATGAGAATAGGCAAGGAGGCTCACCAAAAGATTTTAAGAAATATGATTCAACTGCCCTTTCTTTGACATTTTTCTCTTTTTATTTTTAAAATGCGGGTGTCATGTTGCCCAGGCTAGTCTCAAACTCCTGGGCTCAAGCGGATCTCTCACCTCAGCCTCCATAGCTGGGATTACAGGTGTGCACCACCTCGCCTGGCTTTCGTGTTTTTATTTTCGAGTTAATTTCTTAACTTTGCTTGTTATTATTTTTTTTTTTTTCAGAAATATTGAAAAGCGAAATAGCCCATTTGAACACCATACCTACTACCTAGTTTTAACATTACCTTTTAGCCATATTATTTGCCATTTCTACCTATCTCAAACTTTGTTTTCTGAACATTTCAAAGTACGTTGTGGATATGACAGTTCAGCCCTAAATGCTGTATGTATATATGTATTTCATAAGAGATTAAGGCCATTTTCTGTGAAACAATACCACAATCACACTGAAGAAAGTGAAGAATATTCCTTAAAATCTAACACATGGTGTAGTATATATATACATTTGCCCCATTTCTCCAGAATTCCTTTTCAATCTTTTTTTTTTGAGATAGGTACTTGCTCTGTGGCTCAGGATGGAGTACACTGGAGAGTCTTGGCTTGATGTATCCTTGATTTCCTGGGCTCAGGCCATCCTCCTGCTTCAGCCTCCTGAGTAGCTGGGACCCCAAGAGCATGCCACCACACCTAGCTAATTTTTGTATTTTTTGTAGAGATGGGGTTTTCCAGTGTTGCCCAGGCTGGCCTCAAGCTCTTGGGTTCAATCGATCCAACTGCCTTGGCCTCTTAAAGTGCTGGGATTACAGCTGTGAGCCACAGCACTGGGTTACATTGGCCTTTTGGAGAGGCCAGTTCTGTAGTCTTATAGAATAACCCATATCCCATGTTTTACTGATAGTTCCTCATAGTGTTTAAATTTGTTCCCTTGGCCGCGCGCAGTGGCTCACGCCTGTAATCCCAGCACTTTGGGAGGCCGAGGCGGGTGGATCATGAGGTCAAGAGATCGAGACCATCCTCGTCAACATGGTGAAACCCTGTCTCTACTCATGATACAAAAAATTAGCCGGGCATGGTGGCGCGTGCCTGTAATCCCAGCTACTCAGGAGGCTGAGGCAGGAGAATTGCCTGAACCCAGGAGGCGGAGGTTGCGGTGAGCTGAGATCGCGCCATTGCACTTCAGCCTGGGCAACAAGAGCGAAACTCCGTCTCAAAAAAAAAAAATTTTTGTTCTCTCTATCCCTTGTGTTTTCTGTAAACTTGGAGTTGGGTCTAAAGTCTTGAATAGATTCAGGTTTACTATTTTTTTTGACAGGAATGCTCCATAAGTCATGTGGTATGCTTCATTTCATACATCATCCAAAGGCATACAAAGTAGGCTTGTCTTATTAGTAACCCTAAATTCGATCGCTTAGATAAGGTGGTGACAGGCTATCTTTCCATTGTAAGCATTTCCTTTTGCAATTAGCAAGTAATTTGTGGTGTGATATTTTGGCATTAGTAATTGTTATGAATTTACCTGCAGTAATCTGATAAACACAGTTGGGAACAGTCCTTTAGGAATGGGTTTGGAAGTTAGGAAGAAGGAGGCGGGGGGCAGTTTTGGAGGAAATACTAACCTATCTACTTTAGGGAACTTGGAATGCTACTATGTGTTGGCCTCAGAGCCTGGGAGACTAGGAGAGAGGAGGCAGAAGAAAGTGGATGTTAGAAAGACTTCGCTTTATTTGAATGCTTGCTTAGGACCACGGTAGCAGTAGTAAGCTATGGTAAATAGAAAAGTTCTGAGGTAGGATTGCAAGTGCTTCAACTGGAACATCTGTCCAGTTAGGCTACTAATTCAGTCCTTTTTCATTCCAGTGTTTTACTAATCAGCATTGGCTCAATTGAATAACAATTCTCATAAACGAAAGTCAACTGTAGTTTTAGGTGACAGGAAATTGAAAATGTCTATTGACAACATATTTTGTTACTCCAAAAGCAAGTTTTGGAAGGGAAGGAATACTTAGAACATATTCATTGATTAAATTTATAAATCCTGAGTAGTTTTTTTCTTGCTTTAGAGAGGAACTAAAAAATGTTTGAATTTTCAGTCAGATTGCTTTAGATAGAAATTTAGATAATGACTTGATTTACTCGGTGACTTGTATCAAAAATTGTATGTTTAGAATTTTGGTTTGCAAAGCAATTTTAAGGATTCTCTTAACCCTCTGCATACTAGGAAAAGAATACAGTTATTGCTATGATCTGGGTCAAAAGGGACTGTTATTTTGTTTTTTGCATTTTAAGTTATGTATAATTTATAGGAGTAAAAATAAAGCATAACGCAAGACAACTTATTGGAGCTTTTAATGAGAATTTAGGTATGGCAGACTTTTATGTATATATGTAGAAAAATAAGAAAAAATCTATTTCATGGATTTAATTACATAACACCCCTATAACAAATATGCGTCGCATTTGATTCTTATTATAATTATAACACATCTTTTTCTTTTTGATTTTTTTTATCTATACAAAGAATATATTCTTGTTTTCAAATCAGTGCAAAATCATCATGGTTAGAGGGTAAGACAAAATTCTCTTTCTAGTTTCTGCAAGTTATTTTCCTAGTTGCATGAGGAATTTCTTCTTGGTAACTTAACTTTTATAATTGAAGCTTTTCCCAAAAAATGAAAAGTATATTCAACTAGTATCAGTGATAAGCCATTTTCAAGTCATTCTCTTCCAAGTGTCATTTCTGACCCACTTTTTGAATGTAACTATCCCTCCTGTAGTCTACTTGTAATACAGATCACTTCAGGTTAATTTATGCAAGGATTTTTAAATTCATTGATGACTGAGAATACATTGAGCTGAGAATTTAAGTTAGTATAGTTTTCCTTAGGACAATAAGAATCATGAAGTATATTCGAAATCCAGATTTTGTGCTATTGACTTCTTTTGCTTTTCCAGTTGTGAAAATTCACTGAAGTTCAATGTTGTTCTTCCGAAGAGTGCCAACTAAAGAGAGTTTGATGCTTATAATATTCAGCCAAGTCTAAATTTGTAAAAAAATTGTCACACGTTATATGACAGAATTTTGAAAATTTTCTGCCATTTCTTATATATCAATCTTGATTATACTCTCATCCCCTTTCCGAATCTCTGTGTAGGTCTGCATTGTCCAAACTTATCATATTTCATTGTCACCTGTTGCTCAGATTTTTATTTCCTGTATTTCATCTTTTGAAGACATTTCTACTTGAAATGGGCAACGTTATCTGAATATAATTAACTACAGATGCTCCTTGAATTACGATAGGATTACATCCTTGATAAACCCATTATTAGTCGAAAGTATCATGAGTTGACAATGCATTTAATACACCTAACCTACTGAATATCATAGCTTGGCTTAGCCTACCTCAAATATGCACAGAACGTTTACATTAGTCTACAGTTAGGCAATATCATCTAACTCAAAGCTGATTTTTTAATGATGAAGTGTTGAATATCTCATGTAATTTATTGAGTACTGTAAAAAGTGAAAAACAGAATGCTTGTATGGGTACTTGAAGTACTGAATGCACTTTTCACACCGTTATAAAGTTGAAACGTTGTAAGTTGAACCATCTTAAGATGGGGACTGTCTGTGCTTAGGAACTTTCAT